CATCATATGCCAAGAGACAAACTTGTTGGGTTTATTTACATCAACATTGCTTCTGCTGGCCCCCAGCGCAGGTTACAAGTGTTTTTTTAGTCTTAATGAGTAGGTTATCTTTTCCATTTTATACAATTCCCTTACTTTTTGGACCCATAAGTCATAGGAAGGAGGCTCCAGCTGCATCCGCCTTATTGTGATGCATTTCAGGGCAGCTGTAAAAAGGACCTTTAACAGATATGCTTTGGCCCATCCTTGCAAACCATCTGCTATAATACCAAGTACCGCAACTGCAACATCCTTGGGTATAACTCCTGGGAAAATATGGTTTATAGTTCTGTACATGCTCCGGTTTGTTTTGTCTTGCAGCAGTACACCACCACGCCGCACCCCACCAACCCCAACGAGACCATCCTGGTCCCGCCCAAGTCCAGCCCCTTCCAGGACCCCTTCTTCATCGTGGAGACCATCTGCATCTGCTGGTTCTCCTTCGAGCTGCTCATGCGCTTCATCAGCGCCCCCAACAAGGTGCACTTCTTCAAGGACATCATGAACATCATCGACTTCCTGGCCATCATGCCCTACTTCGTCACCGTGGGGACGGAGCTGGCCAAAGACAAGGGCACCCAGCCCTCCGTGTCCCTGGCCCTGATCCGGGTCATCCGGCTGGTGAGGGTCTTCCGGATCTTCAAGCTCTCGCGCCACTCCAAGGGCCTCCAGATCCTGGGCCAGACTCTGAAGGCCAGCCTGCGGGAGCTGGCCCTGCTCATCTTCTTCCTCTTCATCGGGGTCATCCTCTTCTCCAGCGCCGTGTACTTCGCGGAGGTGGACAGCCCGGACACGCTCTTCACCAGCATCCCCGAGGCCTTCTGGTGGGCGGTGGTCTCCATGACCACCGTGGGCTACGGGGACATGTGCCCCGGGACGGTGGGCGGGAAGCTGGTGGGCTCCATGTGCGCCATCGCCGGCGTGCTCACCATCTCGCTGCCCGTGCCCGTCATCGTGTCCAACTTCAGCTACTTCTACCACCGGGAGATGGAGTGCGAGGACACGCGGGAGTACCACCACGTCTCCACCGCCGTCTGGGAGAAGGACGGCGAGGAGGAGGAGGGGGGGGAGGAGGAGGAGGGCGAGGAGGAGGACCCCGAGTACCCGGGGGATTACGCGCCGCTGCCGCCCTGCCCCCCCCCCAACGGGACGCTGCCCGCCGCCGACCAGAGGCTCCACCCCCAACAGCCTCTGGTCACTCAGGTCTAGAGAGGACGAGCCGATGGGAGGCAGGAGAGAGACCCGAGGCCTCTGGGTGACTATATTCTAAGCTTTGTTCCCCCCCCCCACCCCCAACAAATAAGCACGACTGTCACACAGTTCACACTCGTGGACAAAGACCTTAAGCCACGCCTCATTTCTTTACGCCCGACCGTCTTTTAGATCCTCCAAACGGCCGTGGAGCAGGAGCTCAGACATCTTAGGACATCTTACTCTTTCTGACACATTTTCTGTCTTTTTTAATGACTGTTTTTTTTCTGTTTCTGACCTCCCAGCATTTAAAAAGCATCTAACTCAAGGGATGAACCGGTGGGGTGTCCACACAAAACAGACAACTTACCAAAGAACCAGTTTTAAACTGTGTCCGTAAGCACTTTGCTGCATTATTTATGTAGTTTAATCTATGAAAAAATACAACCGATTGGCATAAAATACTATGTTTGCACCAATATGGTATATCCTCATCAAAAGGTGTTTTTTTAAACGGTCAGAATCTACAAATCTGACTTTTTAGGTCATTTTAATTTTACAAAGTGTTTATGTCTTTACTCCCTTACTTTAATGTTTCCATGTGTTGCACCGCTTTCTTTCATTTCTGGCAGTAGAATAAGAAATGATAGTGGGTAAAGACTTTTGCATGCTTGTAATTTTCTGAAAATGAATGAAATCACGTCTCAGTTTCCTCAGGAAAAAACAGCGGAACCAGTTTTTTCAGGATGATAAAAACAGGGTTAACAAAGATCTAAAGTTTCTTCGTAACCAAACACAACTTTGGATGTTTTTCATTTGAAAACACACAAAAAACGCGTCTTTATGCATAAAAGCTAACATTAAAACTGCTCATAACTGAAAAAAGGTATTTTTCTGTCCAGTCCAGAGATGCCTCAGGACACATGATGAACGTTTACAGCATTTTCTCTATTTTATGAGCTAGTGAGGCTTCTTTTAAAGCAGGGGTCTCACACTTTGGTCCAGTCCTGTGCTGAACTTTAATCTTTTTCAAACATCATTTAACCTGATGTGTGGAAGCGTCTGAAAGAGACACTGTGTGGGATGTGGCGACATTTAGTGACTCAAACTACAAATTGCACCCTGAGAACACAGAGTTTACTCATTTAAAGGTTGAACTGTTTGTGGTTTTGGTTTTGATGTGCCTATAAATACATTACAAACGGTATCTACAGCTCACCTACAGCAACTTTGTAAATACTTTCTCTGTTTACAGACTTTTTCTTTATAACATATTGAACTCTTAATTGAAATGAAGTCTTAATTAGCACACTTCGTCCAGGTGTGCCAGCATTTGGATGCTTGAAATCACGCCAGACGGCCGTTAATACTCCTTAGATAGGTTGAACCAGAGGTTTTATACGTGTCCAGAAGAATGTCCGATGCATCTGGAAAAGGTTTAAAGCTGAGTGGAAAACTGACGGATCGGTTTATAGTTTCTTTTTAAAAAGAAAAGACAAATCTCTCTGTTACACTTTGAAAAAGAAAGCACCTAACTTGACCCTTAGGCCTCCAAAAACCTGTTTCTGGGGGGGTTCCCCTCAAAGCTCCTGCTGTTATATCCATGTAGTTTGTCCATTTATGACTTGGGAACATTAATGTAACTTTCAGGGCCTCTAAAAGTATAAATATGTGCTATGGGATCCAGTTATTGGCCACACAGGGTACATAAGGGGAGACCATGAATGTACTTCCATAAAGCCCCCATGTTTGACTCTATCGGAGGTGTTCAGAGCATCTGAAGCCTTCAGGGTCCCAGCCTCTTTATTTAAATCAAGCCAGGATCTGTTTTCTGGGGCAAACAACCACCATTAGAGGTTTGAGGGTTAGGTTAGGGTTTGGGTTAGTGAACGCTGATGCATTCAGAAGTTTCTGAACATTTTGTTTGAAAAAAATACTATGCAAATAACCCAACAAGTCATCAGTAATGTATCTATCAGGTAACACTCACTGGAGAAGTAAAGTCTTGATTAAACCCTTTGGATTAATTGATGGTTCCAAGCATTAATGTGTTTGAGGAGCCCCCCACCCATGTCACAGAAATATTTACTGCACAGACAGAGTTCTGTCAGTAACCCAGCAGAATGCTATTATAGATTTAAAGAGGAGTTTTACTGCCGATGCCTCTGATCAAAATATCCTCCACTAGAAATTCCAGTGGCGTGATTTCAGAGAAGAGTTATTCTTAGACCAGCCCTGCAACGTAATCTACCCCTGCGCCGGGGTGTTCTAAAAAAAGGAAAAAAAGAAAATTTTTTTTTTTTGGTGTTAATCTTCACAAAAAAAAAAGGTTTTTGTTTAGTGCAATATGTCATGACACACACGTGCAATGCGTGCACGTCACCTCGTTCGGCCTTACTGGCCGGGGGAAAACGCAAAGACGGTGTTTTCAAAAGGGCTTTTTTCTGATATGTGTCCCAGTTGCATCACTTTGCAGATGATTTCAGCCTCTGAGTGACAGTTTTCAGTCTTAAAAAAGTTACATTTTTGTCTTAAAATAGAAAAGAGCTTTGAAAAATGGCGTGGAAACGTGTTTGAGAGTGTGGCTGTCGTATGTTGTCTGTGTATTTCTTTACTTAATAAAGACCCCGAGTTAGCATTCGTGTCCTGGAATATTGTGCCGTGACTCTGGGAAGGTGTCAAGATGCAGACGGCCCTGAAAAAGCACCAGAAGTGTTACATCCAGAGGCAGATGCACGCTCTCTCTCTCTCTCTCTCTCTCTCTCTCTCTTGGTGTAATTCCCGTTCCCGCCGCCAGGGGGCAGACTGGGTCGCAGAACCAGAGCTGGACGCCTGTCTCCGTCCACTCTGATTTACAACAGAACGACATGAAAGACTCCAGAGTATCCAAATGCAGCATTTGCCATCTTGAAACGATCCTGCTCATCTAAAACACGTGAATGAAGAGATTTGTACTCAGTTACTTTGACTTTTAAATAGAGTTCAGTTTTGTTGTTGACACATTAATGTGGAGCCACTGAACTCCATCAGGAGAAGAAGCTTCACTTATGATTTAAAAACTCTTAAACGGGCTTTAAAAAATCAACTCATTAATCATGACAAAAAAATATTTATAGACTTATAGTCGTAATATGTTCGCACTGAGGCTTTTGAATGTTTTAAGTTCTGGGGCGTAAATTGGAATGTGTGGAATGATAAATCCAACATAACTAATAAATAATGAAACAGATTTATGTTGATCGTTATGAAAATGTCACAATTTAAAGTTCTTAATTTAAACAGAATGGGAATAAGTATTGGAAGCAACTATTGTACTGAAGTTTACAAGTTCTCTTTGTGTCAGTTTGGGGAATTTTTAAGCCATTTGTATTATGAATTAAATATTTTATCTTAAAAAACGAAGGCAAAGAAAACACAGGTTAAGATGAGGATATTATGTACAGAGAGCAACAAGACAATAAACACAAATGTGCGTCTTCCATCCGTTAAAAAGAGGGTTCTGATGGTGTACTTTAATGTTTAGGCCGTCACATTTTGCACAGAAACCCCCTCCAGCCTGTAAAACACATGTATGCTCCATGCAGAGGAATTCCAATGGAATAAAAAATGGGGTTTGTGACAACTAGAGCTTTAAAAAAAAATGGATTTATCTATTTTTTTAAATAAAGGATTAAAAGTTGTTAAAGTATCTACAAATCAGAACCTGTATCACTTTAGCTATAGCCGATGGGGTTTTGGGTCATCTTCCTGTTTTTTCCTTCTAGGTTTGAGTTTTTTTTTCATCATTTTTTAAAAATTCTTGAGTTTTCTTTTCTCTATTCCTACCTGGTTTAAATGTCTCAGCTGCTCTTTCACTGATCACTCTCCTCTAAACACAAGCTTTCTGTTTTATTGTCACATGATGTTTTGTTTTTCTCCTGGTTTCCTTGTTCTGGTTTCCTTTGGTTTTCCTCCCCTAGTTGCATTTTGGTTTCTTCAAGATTAGTTTTTGGTAATCTGTATGTACCCGAGCCCTCCTCCTGTGACCTTCCTGGATATCCTATCTCTGAAGTATGATACATCACTGAAAACCTTCAATTTCTGTCCTTCTTTTATCATTGCATGTTTTGCATTACAGAAACAATGTCAAACATGTGATCTCCATTGGATAATTTATATGAAAAGAAGATTTAAAGTGAGGAGGAGGTAGGATGGAGAAAAGAGGAGAGCTTGAAGGAATAAACCCCAGGAGCCAAAATCCAGGTAACCTGCTGCTTTGTCTGTGGACATAGCCCAATGTGCACATACGCAGATCCTTCAGATTCCTCAGATAATTCTGCTTTTAGCTTCTTATCTTCAGACTGACTGTTTATGTTGTTTCTGCTGACATGTTTCTTGCTCACATAAGCTTAAACACACTACAAACAACCTGAAAACGTCTCCTGAATGCAGAGAAAACAGCCGAAAACCTCCCTGGCTGGTTTCGGGCTTAGCAGCTTTTTCTTTTTGGGACCAAAGAAGATAAAAGACGCAAAGAGGGTTGATTCAATATGGGATGAAACCCCTACATTAACAAACCCCAACGAGAGTCCTCACAATTGAACGGATTCCCATCTTTCAGGAGGAAAATTCAACATGGAAAAAGGGGCATTTCATGTTTTGGGCGGATCTCTGTAAAGTATCTTCTGTTTTTCTGGACTGCAGTCAACGTGAGTAAAACTTCCAGGAATGCTTTTATTTTTGGAGTGGCATGTAAACAGGACCGTCCAGTTCTGTGGGAGCTGGAGAGGCGGGCCGGGGCTTTGCAGCCGATGATGCTCTCACACACACGCGTCTTTCCCCGATGATGTGATTAAATTCCTGACCCCCCGTCGCCTCAGATATCCCCGCGTCAGCATCTTTCCTTCATGCTATGGAGCAGATTACAGACTCTCCGGGTTCCACGACACCACCGACCATTCACCTCCAGTCAGCCACCCAAAACGTCCCCGTTGGAGGCTGCAGACTTTCACCTTTGGCCTCCTTCTCCTCCCGGTTAGGGTTAGGGCCCACAGTGTCCTTATGCTGTCTGGGAAGAATGAAGAGGATTGACGTCTTTCTGGCCATCTGCTGCCCTCCAATTCCTCTCCCATCCATCCCTCTGTCCCGCGTCGGCCATCTCTGGCTCTCTCCTTTGAGAGGATTACGGGCGCTCGTCTCTCTGTGGGTCTTTGTCTCATCTGTGTGCGAGCGCGGCCCGGTGTGTGTAGTGTGCGCTTTAAGTCTGTGTTTGTTGCAACTCTCCATCCAGTAATATCTCTGTCAGCGGGGTTTTTCAGCCTTCTTTCACCAACACTGACGCATGACCCCCTTTGACAGAAAATCCTCCTGCAGATTGTTACTTAAGCAGCAGAAAAAAAAACAGACAAATTGCGGTATCTTTAAATAAATCTCTAAGATTTTATTACATAGAATATACACACAACCTGGAGCTGTGAGTCTGAAATAAGACCTAAGGATTTAGACAGGCAGTTGATAAACTTCAGTTCAAAATTAAAAGCAATTCAGCGGGACGGAGTTAATCATTGTACAGCAATTAAGAAGTTAAAATGACAAATTAGAGAGAACTATCTAATCAATTTAAGCCTACAACAAAAATAAAACAGCATCTTGCTTATATTCATCATTTCACACACCAGATCACAACAAGAAAATACAAAACGTACATAATATAGACAATATTAACATGAACACTGATTGTTGTCAGAGGAAAAGGAAGAGAAGGACCAATAATGGAAAGAATGAGGTGAATTAAATCATAAAATAAACATCTAGTGGTTTCATATTTTCATCATTTACTTTGAGGTCTCTCATCTCGAGGCCAGTTCAACGACCAGTTTGATACTTTGAAGACAAACGACAAATTTAAAAGCTAGTTAGCTTAGCTTAGCGTCAATGCTAACCCGACTCTGTTCAAAAGTTAGCGAGGCTGCTAACCATCCCTTCAGCTCAACCTTTTTTTAAAAATAAATAATTAATGAAGACAAAAACAGTAAAAACAAAAACAAAAACAATAACCAATAATTAAGGGACCAGTCGCCTCTGTTAATGAAATAAATGAAGACAACAAATACTAAGTGAACCAGCTAGCTGTGGTCTGCGCCAGTCCTTTAGGCCTGTATGCGTCTACTCTGCTCTATTTGCCCAAATGTGCGGTAATTTGTGTAAGACGACAAATTATCAAGAAAAATCATGAAGTTAGACACTCTCTGCAACCCCAAACGCACCACAAAGGAGAACTGCTGGTCCTCTCAACCACTAAACAAACAGACGGGTCAGAACAGACAGGTATTATTACCCTAGTATAGTTGGTCTTTTTGCCATAAAGGCAGAGATGTAAAAGACAAACATATGCAAGCATTTAACATGCTTTCTTTTTATATCGTTTCATGTAAACTGGAGCTTTGGAATGGATCTTGCTTTGGACAGAACCAAGCTACTTTTGCACTAAGCTAGGCCAACATATACTGCAAAAATAAATAAATAAACAAATAAATAAACAACAGAACAAGCATTACTAGTTATACCATGAAACAAACATTTCTCAGAAAGTTAAATTATCCTTCCAGATGCAACAAAATCGCTGATAATTTATATTACAAGCTGACATAAAGCCAGCTAATAACGTGTGATTGTGCGTTAAGAAGCTGGCAAAAACACAACCAAACATGCAGCTCTACCATCAATGGCAGACTCACGGCTCTCTGGCAACGCTCAGATTCAAGGAGGCTCAGGCAGTCGTCAAAGGTTTGGCTTAAGTTCAGAACTGGAGAATCGAAAC